TTTACTGTTCTCCTTCAGACAGAAAAGGCTTTGATGAAACCTTTATGCTAATGCTGCCAAGCAACAAGGAATACTTAACCACTGAACAGCAGAGGCTTTAGCAGATAGATAACTAGATATTTCCTTCCAGAGATGATGGAAAGCATAACCAGACCAAACATAAAAATTAATGTTTAATGTTAATGCATTCATCAGCTGGCTAGAGTTCAGGTTGTTGGAAATCTTGCTCACTGACATCGTGTATTGCAAGCAGGACTGAGTCATGTACTTTATTTTTTTCAACTGCAGTTGCTAAAGTGTGTAGGTGCATCACAAAAAAATGAAGATTATTGCATTAAGCAGCAGCATCGCAGCCTAATGCTAACTAAAATTAACGTTGTTATGAGAATAAATATCCAGGTATATCTATTAAATAGTCTAGTAAACGTGCATACATTCTCGGCATTGTCTGTGGAAATATTTTTACACAGCATATTTACATTGTTTTATCATAAAATTTATCAAAAGCATTCCAGAGTCAAAGCTGAGCACATATTGTGTCATTGTTGCTTATCTCTTTTAAGTACTGAACATTAAGATAAGACATTAGATGTATAATGCTCTAAGCATTACGTATGTAGTTTTTCTGCAGCTGTCTGAAGCTGGGACTAGCAAGGCCATTGTGTTTCCTTTTCCCAAGAGCACTGTTATACCCACTTCTGCTTTGAGGACTCAGCAGTTTATGACAAACTGAGACTACCACACATAAACAAACCTCTTCATCATGTTTTCTGCTCTGTTTTGACCTCAAGTAACAGAAGATTACAGGAGACATCATTAAAATTGAAGACCTAACTTACAATCACCCATGCTCATCTTCAGTTTTACCATGCTTGTCATGCTCTTTTCATGCCTATATTGTTTATTAGACTAATATATAAAGTATGTGTAAGTATAATTATATGTACGCAGTATTTTTTGTGCTGCTGGCACTGAATTCAAATTTAACACATAAGAAGTATTTTTCACTCATCAATATTTGGTTCATGACTATTTGTAGCTGGGTCTGAAATTTTAAAAATGCTGCATTTTGTTTTTATCTCAACTCGACGTGTTGCATCGCATGTCTCTCTAGTTTGAGGTGTGCTGCAAGTACAAATGAGTGGTTTGCTGTAATTACCTATAAAGCTAGCATTTTCTCAAAATTCAAAGGTGTAAAAAAAGAATCAAAGCCTGATAACATTTTGATGATGGAAGTGAAAAAAAAAATAGAAGTTATTGTCGTACTAGAAAACCCAACAGTAAAGACTAAGAAGAATCTCTTTATAGCCAAAGCTTTGTTGTATTTAGAGGAAAGCTGGCCATATCCTTTAAAGGTTTTGCATGCAAAGTATTTGCCCCTGAAGCTGTGTGTGTGTGTGTGTGTGTGTGTGTGTGTGTGTGTGTGCGTGTGTGTGCGTGTGTGTGTAGTATATTAGTGACATTACATTACAACAACAAGTACTTTAATACTTATTCCACTTTCATCAGCAGTATTATCAGTCAGAATCAGGCAGATTTTCATGAAGTTAAATTTTGCCACAAGCATGAATCAGTTTTTGCATTTTACTCTTCCTACATGCACATGGTTGTGTGCGTCAGCAGTCAAAACTAGGAAACAGATGTGTTTTGATATCTCTGTGATCCTCACTCATTTAGAGGGTTAGCTGCCACTGACTAATCCTGACTGAACCCACAAGCTTTGTGTATAGCTATCTTATGTAAAAAGAGAATATCCACTAGGAGATACTGATTATGAGTTCTGTTATGAAAAGATGGCTAATCTGTTTGTCCCTATAGCTGTACTGTGCATTGTGAGACACACGGAAGTCAGAGTCTTTGTGGGGAAATTTGTTATTGTGACATATCGCCTTTTACAGAAAGCTTTCTTGTACGTAATGTTTTAACCATCCATGTATGGTGTCTGTGTGTGTCTGTGTGTGTGACAACACACAATAAATGAATAGAGAAACACCAGAAAATGCTTTTCTTATTTTGTTTTTGTTGTTATTTTTTTGAACTTATCAGATTCAACTTTTGCCAAATAGAAGACAAATTAAAAAAAACAAAACATCCCAACCAAGAGTTTAGGTTTGTTTTGGTGAATGAAGAAATTCCAGCATTTTATTAGTTTGCTAAAAAAGCACTAAACAACATGTTTACATGTCCTTGTTCAAATACATTTCAAGATCTAGATTTTGCTCAGAGACATGAAGTTCACTAAAAGTGCTGCTGGAGTCATATGTGTACATTATTTACACATGCAGGTGCTATTGTGAAAACCTGAGTGTCTAATTCAGCAGAAATTCACCAGACTTAACAAGTTCACTTTTTCTTTTTAAGTTATGATTTACAGGAACATCTGTTTTTATATACTGACAACTGCAAGTAGTTTCCATTTCTGTTCTACCTGAGTGTATACATTGTTTTGCACTTGTGGAAATGTAGTTATTTTGTGCTCTATACTTAATATAAAAAGTTATTATAGGCTAGCCAAAGTTTTACATCAATTAGATGTGAATACTTTTATGTATGCTCTTTGTCGATAACACTTATATACTTGCCCCTTAAATGCAGGACATTTTTTTCCCCTGTGGTTCACTTTTCACACAAACAGCACTCAATACAGGAAGAGAATAGACTGGAGGTCTCTGACCACAGCATCCTGAATATGTCTCCTCTTGGCCCTAATACAGAAAGAACTCTGTTACACTAGTTGTATGTGTGAAAAGCAGCAGTGAGGAAACTATGCGCACACCTGGTTCCTGCTGTGTTTTACACAGTAGGTAGTGTAGTCTGAAGGAGTCAAACCACAAACCATTTTTATAAGTACTTCCTATATAATCATAGTGTGCCCAGCATGAGTGCCACTGTTGCCAAAAATCGTAATCAAAATACTTTTTCAAAATTTAGTGTTAAATCTTTATTTTTGAAATTGCTTCTTATTAGCAGGAATTTCTGACAATTGGCCCTAAGTACTTAAGAAATGTCAACAAACTGTTGGTTGAATGACTGCAAATGCACCAAAATTGCAGCATGGTTCTTTGATTACACAAACATTTTTAAGAATACGTCATGTAACGATGAAGTCCTTGACCTGCCTTATAAAACTGAGATAAGGCATAAAGAGATAATGAATCATGGCTGTTGATACTTGGACTTTAGTGGTGCATAATCCAAATTTTAAAAACAAGAGCACACTTGTTTTCCCACAAACCAGTTGCTACTTGAACCATTAAAGTGACTGTCCTGAATCACTGTTGGCGCAGCCTAAATAATTATCTTCAGACACTGTACCTTCATACTGAAGGTAACTGATAGCACTTTTATCAGGTCAGGTGCAATACACAAAATGCTACTTCCTTGTTAAAACTACTGAAACCAGCGTTACAAAAAGTGAAGCATTCCTTTACCACATTACACTCCGAAGAGCTAATTCATTCTCTTCTTTTAGAAACAAAAAATACAATCAAGACTTTGTTGATAAGTTAAGTCTGACCTGTCCTGATCCTGAAAGGGGCAGTGGCGTTCTTAGGCAAGGGAATAGTAGATGCAATAGAATCAACATGTGTCATGGTTGTGGATTAGGCTTTAAGGGTCTATGTCAGGGTTCCCCAATCCCAGTCCACTAGGGCCAGTGTCCCTGCAGGTTTTAGATGATCCATCACAGCTGATTTAAATGGATAAATAACCGTCTTTAAGTTCTCCAGAGGCCTGGTAATGAACTAATCATGTGATTCAGGTGTGTTGACCCAGGGTGAGATCTAAAACGTGCAGGGACACCGGCCCTCGTGGGGCTGGGATTGGGGACTCCTGGTCTATGTAAAACATTCAGGGAAAATAATTTCTCAAAAGAACAAAAGTCTGTAGTACTGATTACGAAACAGACTAAACACTAAATATACGACAATTCATTGACCTGTACATAGGACATTAGTGCAACTGAAGTGCATGTTGAACTTCTAAAGAGTGCACACCATATAATACTGAATTATGTTTACAAAGCAGATCTGTATGCTGTAGCAGAAAACAGTCATACATTTTCATTTTAGTTGAACTTTGAGCAACACAAACCTGCTATATGAAAGTCTTTTTAGACACCTTTTGTTCTCTTACCTTCAAACCACTAAGAGTTAAAACTGTTACTTCTCTCTTTCTCTACAGATGGAGGAATCCACCCCGGCTGGACTACAGTTCTGACTCACACATGTGTATGAATGTGTTTGTGTTGGTGTCTGTGTGTGTGTGTGCCTGCAGGCGTGTAGAAACCATTTGTGTGTGTGACCAAGTGTGCGTGTGTTAATGAGTTGTGTATGTGAGTCTGAATGTGGAAGACATATAATTATCTGAGCATGTGCTTTTGCCAAGTTCTGGAAGGCACCGTACTTTCCGTGTACTGCAGATGAGCACACGAACACACGCACGCACACAAACACAAAAGGAAAGGGAAACAACTTTATTCCATTTTTTTTTTGAGATTTTATGCCAATAAACAAACTGATGTTTGATCAAATACAGATCTCATAAAAATAAAATATATTTGCTAATAAAATATATTTTACTTCTATAATTTCTTTTCTGAAAGATGTACCTAAAGAGATTTTATATGCTTCACTTAGATGTTTCACTAATACTTCCAAATAAAGTGAGCATATTGGATGTGTGTGGATGTGATATAAAAGCCTTCAGCTGAGTATGGCAAACAAGTATCTCTCAAAGTCATAGTCTTTATGCATAAAATTCAGCTGCAAATGGGCTACTGGGGAAAAATAGGGGGATTCTGTTTTCTTTTAAAAAAGAAAACGTACACATGACTGCCTCAAACAGAAAGTCTGACCTTTACATTGGTTACACATTCACAGTTGTTCAAATTAACAACTAAATTCTATTTAAATAAACAACTTTCTATAACCAAACATATGCAAATTAGAATAAAAAGATGGTTTCTATTGACAAATAATCACACTGCTCTGATTTTTGGATTAAATTGAATGTAAAAAGCTTTATTTTAAATTGAAGCAATAATTACATGTTCAGTGTACAGTTACAATATTAACAAAAGACAAATTTGCTACAATTTTACTGGGTCATTTGGAATTGTTTGTCTCAGTTCTTGCACAAACAACCTCCATCCAAGAGATGCATTTCTGTACAGCACTTTCAGCAAAAGCAAAATAAACCGCTATGTCTCTGGGTCCACTATACTGTGTGTTTTATCTTTTTAACAATTCCACTGATTTTTTTTTTTAATCTTATTTTCCTGTCATGAGAATAGTCTTAATAGTCTGGCTTCTTTTGGCATATCTGTTAAACATTTCATAAAATGCCTATGGATAAATGTACTATGTAATTTTTCCATGTAAATAATTTGAGTGGAAAAGGTGTTTCGTCACACCTTCAAAAACCAGAACATTTCAACCAGGGTTTAGAACCACCTTAAATTCCAAACAAAGGCAGACTGATGCAAACTGAAGTTTTCATAAATCTAAAAGTTGTAATCACAAACTCTGAAGGTATCGCCTATAATTGTTGGCATCAACATGTATGCATCACTGGACCTCAACTGTATTTATTCATTCATAAAAAAGCCTTTGCTATTCCCAAACAAAACAAAACTCAAGACAACAAACAGAAACAGGGGAGATTTTAACTTCTCAGCCTATGCAATTTCAATTCTGGAGTATAGTGGATAATAATTTTGCTGTTGATTTCCCACCTAGGTTATTGTCTAGCCTGCCCGTCTAGTCTTTGATTCAGCTGCAAATATGTTTACCTTTCAGCAGCCCAAACGTGCCATAAATTATGCCAGTCTACTAAGGAATGCCTCAAAAAGAACATGTTGAGGGTTATGGATTTGATTAACCATGAAAGGTCATATAAAACAACCCAAATATGATCCCATTTAAAAGTTATGGGGGGATTAGAAAAGTGCAGCAATATCAGTAAAACCCTTAAAAACTTTTGCAACTTTAGACATTTAGCAAGGACAGTTATAACAATTATACAAAACACCTGCTAAAAATGATTTCTGCCGAAGGGGACCAAGACCAACGGTGACTCTCTTTCTCCACACATCATTACATCTGTTCATGCTTTTGTCAAATTCATGATTGAAAAATTCTTGTCATGTCGACCACCTTTATCAGTCGGCACTGAAGATATGCCAAAAAAGCTAACAATTTGCAACTTGCTTTTTCACATAACTGTATGTAGATAATAGCTGTTATCTTAAAGCCCCAAAGAGCACAGCACAATATGCGAACGCAGCCTGAGCAGGGTTAAAGCGAGTCAGTAAAACCCTGAATGTAATACAAGTGTTTCTGTGCTCTAACACCTACAAATGATAGGCGGAGAATCTGCACATTGCCAGGTTTCCATATCAGTTTCATAAGCCGTTAATTCATCTTTCAGTTTCCTCCCTGCCATGCTTTTCTCTCACACTCCAGCTGTAATACAGTACTTCAAAATGAGGTTGTAGGTTTCACATGGCACGATATCAAAAATCAACACGCAGTTACAGCGATCTCAGTGTCACAGCAGAGACAAAAGCAAAAGCACTTAGGTTTGGTGCACATGAACACACACCTGGAACGTGTTCAATTCCAAACAGAGACAAATCAGAAAGGTTACATGGTATGCAATACATTACTCCAACAGGAAAAGATAGAACAAAGAGGAAATACAACCAGAAACAGAAAGTAGTGTAAAACAACTTTTGCGTTTTCTGTTTAGGTTGCGCTGTGGCAGTTTTGCTAACATAAGTGGACAAATGTGGTTCTCGGAAATAAACAATACATTGGTAAGAGCTCTTTGTGGTTTTCTGTGGTTATGTTAAATCTCTTTGTATCTTTTAATGTATTTTTTATGGCCATTAATGTCTCTTTGTTGCGATTTTTTATTTTAATCTTGTACCAATAAACCAGATGTGTATGGTGATGTTTATATGACAAATATAATCTATATGACACTGCTGTCAGAAGTGGATTTTTAACAATACAAGTACAGATTATTCTAATGACTTTATCCACTACAAGTAATGCTAAATATCTTTAGATAACACCTGCAAAACCTTCAATTAGTGACCAGTCCTAAACCATCTCATCATATCATAGGAGAAAGCTTGAAAATGATTACTTATAGCTGATGAATAGCTATTAATGTAAGATTACACAGCTGACAGAGTAGCTGAAATTCTTATGTAGCAGTGATAAATACCAGCACATTAATGTATCAGTGATTTTCAGTGGTGTTGACACAACTGTGCAAACGTACATTTGATTATTGCTGTGTTACAACAAATTTTTGAGCTAACCTCACAGGGAGTCGTCAACAGTGATTGAACTACGTTGATTCTGAAGTTTTAAATCAAACACATGTATCACACATAATAGCACAGTACATCTCCAAGGTTGCTCACAGGGGCATAAAAAATACTTCCCTATTTTTGTTTGTGTCATGCTTAAACAAACATGCACACTAGGCAATGTCATTTTATTATTATTGGTACCGATCAAGTTAACGTATATTATGTCAATGAATTTGGGAATATTCAACTTGTACCATTCAAACCAACATGGAAAACACGAGTTGTACACAAATATAATTGGTCAGTGTTCACATTGGACCTTTGAAATACAGTGTTTAATGCTTACTACTCCAACCAAACCTAGTCAGTCTGCTTGCTTGGTAAAGTTTGTCAGAAAAGTTCAAGGAGTTGGCTATGCACCATGCTTTAAAGGAGGTAGGGATGTTGTGATTATTCTCAAAAAAGCCAGTTAAACAGAGCGGGAATTCTATCTTTGTGTCTTTTTCTCTAATTTTCATGAATCAGATCATAAGAAGTATTGGTTGATTTGGTTTCGCACCTCCAATAAACTGTAGTGCACAGTTGATTCCTTCAACTTTCCTAGTAGAAGCATGCACTTTTGGTATTATAAAGTGCTTCGGTTAAATGTATTTTTGCATAATCCATTGACACCACATTATATTCAGATAGCAAACAATGTTCAAAGTCAAGAAAATGGACTGATTTATATTTACCCTCAACATTCAAATGGGAGTAAATTCTGATATTTGTAAACACAGACAAGTGTACTCAGTTGTTTGTATTTACTTCAGATTTAATCAGGATTAAGTGGTAACATTTATTTTTTCGTAACATAACCCAATATCTATTTTTTTTAAAGGATCATGAATTCTTACATTATAACACAACAAAGGTTTTCATTGGCATCAAGAGTTCAAAGATACAAATACATGTTTTTAATCTGAAGCCTCTATTTCCGCTGTTCGCTAATCACTTAGTTATTTAAGAGTCTTTGACTTGCACTATTCAATGTTTGGTGTTTGTCCAAAACTCAAACTAACTATTTAATGACCTGGCAAGCGTATGGAGACTTGGCCAGGTCTGAATCACTGTGCTAATATACGGATATCGTGATATCGTGACCTTGTCAAGAAACCATTGCACTCTGCCTGCTAATGGTAAAACCAGATGCTTAACGAAGAAGGTGGAAGACAGTAATGGTTGATTCGTTTAAATTTAAAGGTTGCATAATGCATAAACAAGACACTATGAAATGACACTATTTAATAGTTTTGTTGTTCACTTTGTTCATCAACACCACTCTGCTAACTGGATTTCAACTTAGTAACAATTCCTCCAATTTTGTTATTGAACAAAAATGGAACACTCACATTCAGATTTTGGTTATTAACACACTCTTTTTCTTTGCTTTAATGCTGAATACAAAATAACCAAAGAAGAAAACTGTTATTGCATTTGGATGTCATCTTGTAGGAAGCCATTGTACACAGATAGTATTTGGTGGTATAACCCATTTTTGAGTTCTCTAGTGGAGACTGGAAGACTTGTATCTACTACTGCAGGAAGTTGGTTCAATATCATCTTGTGTTATGATTAAGGGTTTTTTGATAAAGTCTAAAAGATGCAGGTGGTAAAATCTACTTGGGTGGGCTCAGTTCATTATCAGGTTGTGCTGTATATTATGTATATTATGTACCAATTGTTGTTAAAGTAGTCATGAAACACAGTGATAAAACATCAATTTTGCAGTTTTAGAAGACAACAAATTTCTATGCTATATATGTTTAGAAAACAAATGAAGATTCATACAGATGTCTCCTGCTATATATCAGTAACTTAAAAGTACCTTTTAAGGGATAATAATCCAGATTATAGATTCAAGAAAAACATAATACCCAATTCATTTGAGTTCTAAAATGCTGGTGTGCTGTCAATCTGCCACAAGTATTTTTAAAAACATGTTGGATACTGATGCAAGTCTGGTCCGGCTGATTCCTACAGAGGTCATGAGTCTGCTGCATGATGGCAATGAATGTGATGCAGGTGCAATTCCAAACCAAAGTCATCCATTTTGACAGATATTTTGACCTGGGGAGAACATAATCTTTGTACAAAAAAAAAAATTGTATGGAAAGCTAGCGAAGTAAACGAGAAACTGTTCAAGGCACATTTGAATTTCCACAGGCGTCATTTTGCAGAGGCATATTAAGGTATTGCGACTGCCCCTGCCCACAAAGAATTGCAAAATCTTGCCTCTTTGGTAGCATCACAAAATCTTTGAGGCCATGACGGAAAAACATTGGTGCAAACACAAAAAAGGATTAGAGTTCCAGGAGTCTTTTTTGCAAATGGAAAAGCAGAGAGTAGAGGCTAAAAATGAGTTCCCCCCAAAAAAAGTAGATCCAAAAACAGTTAGTAAAAAAATGCTACATCTGCTGGGTTTCTGGGTCTACCACTCTCATTTTAAACCTGGGTGTCCTGGGTGTTTGTATTGCCTTGTATCCAAATCCATCGCCCAATCAGTATCAGCAGTAGGCCTACACAGATAAGGGTGACAGGCTCCTGGTGGATATGAGGCACTATGTTCGGCAGGAGAACAACCGGTCTAGGTGCCCTCTGGAACAGAAAGAACAGAGAGAAGAAGAGATATTTTAGTTAATGACAGTTATGCTTCATAGAATACACATGTGACTGCATTAAAATGTAACAAAAACCCAGTTATTGAAACAAAAGCTAACTCCTTGTTCTTACTAGAATATCTTGTTGTATATATGTGGGCTTATATAAAATCAACCCAATGCTCCATGAGTTGGTTAACAAGTCTGGTGTTACTTAACTTTGCTTCTTACTGAGTTATTTGACAACAACAACTGTGTTTGACATGTCTTAAATATTCACTTGAGAGCTTCTTGATGTGGAACTATAGACTAATCATTGTCTAATCAAGACAAAAAGGTAAGTATTTTAGGGTGAGGGTGCTTGATGCTAATCCTTGTGCAAGTAATTACCAAGAAAGTATTTATTGTATGCAGTTTTATATGCCTAAACTTAATAAAACGGTTAAACTGTTTTATTTAACAACATGTACAGAAAAAAAAAAAAATATCTACATGAAGAATTTGCATTAGCATTTGCATAGTGTGTTGCCATATCGCAAAATGTTCTGAGTGTGCAGTGATGTAGATCTAAAGCTCATGTAAACACCCTGTGATCACTTGACGTTTTAAATCAAAGGGGCAGACACCTACTGTATGTTTACGTCTACAGGAAGCACGTAAGTATAGTTCTCAACATCCTGCCACAACTCTCTTTTTACTCTCTCCATCTCCAGGTGTGAGTGCATTTTTGAATGTACGTGTTATAATAATAATAATAATAATGGATTGGATTTATATAGCGCTTTTCAAGGCACCCAAAGCGCTTTATAATGCCATTATTCATTCACTCTCTGGTGGAGGTAAACTACAGTTGTAGCCACAGCTGCCCTTGGGCAGACTGACAGAAGCGAGGCTGCCATATCGCGCCATCGGCCCCTCCGGCCAACACCAGTAGGTGGTAGGGTAAAGTGTCTTGCCCAAGGACACAACGACCAGGACAGAGAGCCCGGGGATCGAACCGGCTTCCGGTTACAGATACGCTTCCCAACCCCCTGAGCCACGGTCACCCCATATATGTATATGTCTTCTTATATTTTGGGTTCGTATGAAAGCTTCTGATCTTTCAAGTTCTGACTTTTTTAAAATCTTGTTTTATATGTTGCATGACAGGAGAATTTATACAGTTGATCACACTCTGAGAATATTAACTACCTTTACATGAGAGCATACATACACATTCCCAGAACAAGGAATGTGGTACTGTAACAAAAGCTGTCACAGTCCTTTCACTCCAGCACACACTTTTAATTAACAGTAGCTAACCTGAAAGTTTGCTGCAGCCGATATTAGCAGCACTTCAAAAGCCCCATCTACTGCCCAATGCTGCCTGATAAACTTCATGTTACCATTTGAGAAAAGCCCACAGCAGATGTCAAACATTAATGCTGTATGTATTCTACAGTGACAATGAAATGGTTCAGTACAAGAATGTATTAAAATGGTAATTTAATGTTGCACTTCCATACAGTAGTGGAAAACCAAGCAAGATACAAAAATGTGAAACAGGAAAACCTCTAAGGTTAAGCTTAGGAAATGCCTGATACAGCAAGTGCCGAAATGCCAAGCACAACTGAAGATGATTGGTTTGATATAATCTGACCACAGAAGATGTTTTAACAAACATATATTATGCAAACTGTTAAAATAATAAAATAAATAAATAAATACTAATGAAATTAGATATATTTGTCTTCTGTTACTGTTACATTTCATAGAGTTTCTCAACTTTTTTGTGAATGAGGGTGTGCTACTGTACTCCTAATTAGTTAATTGCTTTATAAACTGTTCAGTCAACTCTGCTAAAAAGAGAATTGTCAATACAGCGAGTAAATTAACTCATTCACTGCCATTGACGTCTATAGCCGTCAATGGCAGTGAATGAGTCAATGGGTTTAACTCATTCACTGCCATTGACGTCTATAGCCGTCAATGGCAGTGAATGAGTCAATGGGTTTAACTCATTCACTGCCAATGGCTGGCAGTGAATGAGTTAAGTACTGAACATGTCACCAATTTTCTATGTATTTCTAAATGTGCTGTTGAACACATGAAGAAAGGGAGGCGTAACAAAGCATGCAAAGTCATGACACCAGCTGAAATCTATTAGTAATTAGAAAGCAATCCTGCCAATTTTTGCAAATTAAAATCAGCTGCTTCAGTCCCAACTGATTGGCCTATAAAAAGGTCTCATTCCCAGGTGTTACACAAGAAACCGCTTGTGATTGATAAAGTTACTGAGCAGACCGTTGTAGCCTTGATGGTGCTGGTTACAAAAGAATTTCGAAACTACTGAAGGGTCCAGTGAGCACTGTTGGGGCCATAATGTGGAGTTGGAAAGAACATAATTTCACTGTGACGACCACAACCAGGTGCTCCCAGCAAGAAGAATGAAAAGAGTTATCAGAAGTGTTATTTAAGAGCTAAGGAACATATGTGGGGAGCTACAGGAAGATCTGAAATCAGCAGGTACAATTGTTTCAAAGACAAAACAATAAGTAATGCATTCAGCCGCCATGGCCTGTGTGCTCCTACACCACGCGAGACTCTATTGCTGAAGAATAAGCATGTTGAAGCATGTTTAAAGTTTGCTGTACAACATTAAGACAACCTGTGAAATACTGGGAGAATGTAGTCTGGTCAGATGAAACCAACATTAAACCCTTTGGATGCCATAATACACACCACGTTTGGAGAAAATAGGGCACTGGATATCAACCCCAAAACAATTTCACATAACTGAAGTTTAGAGGTGGGAGCACCATGGTGTGGGACTGTTTTTCAGCATACAGCACTGGCACGTAATTGAAGGACGGTGGAATGGAAAAATGTACCAGGATATTGTGATTAAAAAAATCTGCAGCAATCTACCAGGATGATGATGATGATGATGATGATGATGTTGAAACGAGGGTGGACCTTTTTAGAAGGAAGATTGTCCCAAACACACTGCCAGGGAAACTCTCAGCTGTTATCAGGGATTCCCAGGGAATGGCTCACAGTAGTCCAATTCCTTGGAATCGTTATTTTGCCTGCCTATTGATCCCGCTTATCGGTTCTTGCAGTCTCGTTACATTTAGCTGATTTTAGTTTGTGTGTAGGAGGAAAATAGTTGCAGTCTGCAGCATAGATATAGACATTACTTTTTCTTTTTTTTTTTATTGCACAAGGATGAGAGTGTGATGGTAAAGTGGAAACCGCTCCAGGACAGAAACAACTGCATTATACTCTTAACATAAGTTTGGCTTTTTGCAGGCACCTGTACAGACGGCATGCTAACGCTAAGCTAGCCAAGAGCCCAGGGTGATGTTAAAGCTGAGTAAATGCGGACCCCTGCACAGCACCGTGATAAAGTGAGCCATCATTTGTGGTGAAATCAGCCACACGTAAGCTCACACGTGTCTTCATTTGGATAGAGATTTGTGCTGGTGTGTAGGGCTGTAGCCTCAGGTTAATGCTGTTACATGGTAATTATGACACCTTTTAGAAATACATTTCCTTAGGAAACTGGTGATGTGTTCAATACTTATTTTACTTGCTGTAGCTCCAGTGACACATTCAAGCATTATCACAATGTCAAGCTGAATTTGCTCAAATTTTCTTTTTCAAATCATTAAAAAATAAAAGTTGAAGCAAACAAGCTGAAAGCTGAGTCTGGTTGGATTTTGGGTGCCCAGTCCTCTTGTCTGCATGTTATAACAGAAATCATCTGCCTTGTTTCACATGTGCCCCTCAGCTGTGTCTATTTGTAACTCCTTGCCTCAGTCATCTAGATACACTTGGCAGGCTGTTGACTGAAACAGGTGTTTTCTTTTCTGTACAGTAACCCTGCAGCTGATCGCTCAGTGTCTTGGCCTCAGTCCATTTCTTCAGCAGCAGGAAGAGTAACTTTTCAGTAATAATCTCCCTGGTCAGTAGAACAGGAACACATCCTCAGGGTGGATGCTCAAAAAAAAACCTCTCTCCAGAAACAACAAGGCTACTGTGGAAGGGGATCCCCACAATGAAAATTATGTAGTAACTTGTGTACACAGAAAGCCATTTTAGACAACAACAACAGAAACTTTAGCTACTTCACTCAGACACAATGTTGTGCAAGTTACTGAATGTATTTTCTTCACCCACTTTAAACCTATTTTAAGAATAAAACACCTGAGTAACTGAATCCTCTCTTATATAATTAACAGCTCGAAATTACAGCCACAACTACCCGGAGTAGCTAACAGTGGATGGTTTTGGTTGAACTGCAGCTTTCAGGTGTGAGTTTTAATGAGTTCCGTACAAAATGTTTGCTTAAACTGCCATACATGAATAATTTAAAGAGCAGCTAAGGAATTTACAAGGGTAGGAAGAATCTTTTTTTCTTTTCCCTCACGTTGTGGCATTAAGCCTTTCAGATTTAGTCCGGATGGACAGACTGTGCAACATCATCCAGATATCCGCTGGCACAAAATAATGCTGCCTGCCCCAGGCCACACTGTACTCTGAAAAACAGGATCTTTACAGATGCAACAGGGATATAAAAGCTGTGTGGTTTAATTTGAAAAGTGAGCCAAAAGCCACAGAAGCCTCTAATGCCAGAGGAGGAAACAGGTGAGGGGAACACTAGTTAACCCTGAAATGAATCACAATGTGCTTCTAATTCCACATCTGACTAAACAAAGAAGCAAGTTAGATGACCAAAGAGCTAGCAGAATGCTTATTTGAAGAAGACATGACCCTGATTTTTTACACTGAAACAGTTATGGCAGGTGAAGGTAATGGGGTATAGCTTGTCAACCGTAGGGTTAGTTCTGGCAGGCAAATCACGGGTACCAGCTGATAACATTCCTAGAGCTAATCTCATACAGGTTGGTGTGCCATTTAAGATATCTATGCATATAGTTTTTGTAGTTGGGGTGGCTGTAGCTCAGCAGGTAATCTGCTAATCGGAAGGTTGCTAGTTTAATCCCTGGTTGCTCT